AAGATCTCCTTTAAGTTACCCAGGCTGACCACAAACTCAGGATCCTCCTGCCTCAGCCTCTGGAGTAGCTGGGATTATAAGCATATATCAGCATGCCTGGCTGTCTGCTTTTAATACTATATTCTCAGGCCGGGGATTTAGCTCAGTGGTTTCGCCGCCTGCTGCGCAAGCGCAAGGACCCGAGTTTGATCCCCAATACCAAAAACAACACAAAAAACAAAACAAACAAACAAATACTATATTCTCTCTTTATCCCCGATTTTTAGGGTTAGATTATGCTATGCTTTGGTATAGTTTTCTTCTTGCCTTTAAAAAATAATTAAGTTTGGGCCAGAGTTTATTTAGCTCAGTGGTTCCGTCGCCTGACTCAAAAGTGCAAGGTCCTGAGTTCGATCCCTGGTGCCAAAAAAAAAAAGTTAAAAAATAATTAAGTTTATTGGTACATTTTAGTATATGTAATGATCACATTCATCATAAGGAATTTGTACCTGTACATGATATATCTTGATTTTTCTGTTTTCCCATTCCCTACCCCTTCCTTCCCCTCCTTTTTTTTTTTTTTACAAAAGCTTTGTTTCTATTTTTCCTTCTTTTCTCATTGTTTTTCTTTTCCCTTACTTTCCCCCTACCCTTTCCCTAGTTCCCCTTCCTATTTGAACAATTTCTTCCTGTTTCACAATATCTATTATACATTTTGGTCCTTGTTTACACTTTCAGTTTCACACACTGGAGAAACAATGCAATATTTATACATGTGTGTCCAATTTGTTTCACTTAAGAGTATGGTCTCCACTGTGCAAGCGCAAGGACCCGAGTTCGATCTCTGGTACCAAAAAAAAACCCAGTATGGTCTCAAGGTGCATTCATTTTCCTATAGATGTCTCAAGTTTATCCTTCTTTATGGCAGAGTAGTCGTACTCCATTGATAAAAAAACACATCTTCTTTATCCATTCATCAGTTGATGGGCATTGGGCTGTTTCCAAGATTTAGCTATTACCAAATGTGCCACTATAAACGTGTATATATTGCTATAGTATGATGTATTTAATTCTTTTTTTTTATGCTTTTAATTCTTTTGGGAAGATAACAAGAAGGAGAATAGCTGGGTCAAATGGAACCTCTAGTTTTAGTTTTTTGAGGAATTGCCACACTGATTTCCTCAGTGGTTGCACCATTCTACACTATACTCGCACCAACAGTGGAGAAGAGTTCCTTTTTCCCCACATCCCCCCCAGCATTTGTTATTGGTTGATTTCTTGATAACAGCCATTCTTTCCGGAGTGAGAAGGAATCTTAATGTTGTTTTCATTTGAGTCTCTTGAATGACCAGTGATGTTGAACACTTTTTCAATATTTATTTGCTGTTTCTCCTTCTTCATCTGAGAAGAGCCTGTTCATTTCAGGTGTCCATTTTTAGACTGGGTCTTTAAATTTGGGGGGCCTGATTCTTTTGAGTTCTTTATATATTCTAGATATTAGATTTATGTATTCTAGATATTAGTCCTTTGTCTGAGGAACAACTGGAAAAAAATTTTTCCCACTCTGTGGGTTCTCTCTGCACCCTGTTGGTGGTTTCTTTTGCTATGCAAAAGCTTTTTTTTTGGTACCGGGGTTTGAACTCAGGACCTTGTGCTTGTGAGGCAGGTGCGGTGCCACTGAGCTAAATCCCCAGCTACAAAAGCTCTTTAATAAGATGAGATTCCAGTTGTTGATTCTTTGTAATATTTCCTGTGCCATCAAGGTTTTGTTCATAAAGTCTTTGCCTATGTCTTGAAGAGTTCTACTTATGCTCTCTTCCAGCAGATTTAGTGTTTCTGTTTTAATATTTAGATCTTTGATCTGTTTTGATTTTAGTTTGGTGCATGGTGAGAGACATGGGTCTAATTTTAGTCTTTAGCATCTGGAAAGCCAATTTTTCCAGCACCACTTTAATAAAATTAAAGAGGCTATCTTTCTTCCAGCAAAGGTGTTTGGCTAAGTGGCTGAGTGTGTTTGGAGTTGTTTCTGCATCTTCTAATCTGTTCCATTGATCCTCAGGTCTGTTTTTTTGCCAGTACCATGCTGTTTTTATTACAGTAATTTTGTAGTGTAAAGTCAGGGATTGTGATGCCCCATGCCTTGCCTTTGTTGCCTAGAATTGTTTTTGCTATTCTAGGTTCCAGTTTCTTCACATCCTTGTCAATACCTGTTGTTTAATTTTTATTAAACACATTGCATGCTACATAATGTAATATTGTAGCTATGGTATTTTTCATGGTGATCCTTCTGCCTCAGCCTCCGGGGTGCTCCAATTACAGGCATGTGCCACCATGCCCTGCAAAAAAACCTACTTTACATTTTATTATCTAATAAACATCTTTCCATGTTTGGCTTTGTTCTTTTTATCTGTTCTGATAAATATCCTTGGGCTAGCCTTCTCTTTCAACTTTCTAATTTTTTGTTAGTCATTTCCACAATGACATTTGTCTTTAAAATAGCAGCTTTATTAAGATATAATTCACATACCATAGAGTTTACCCATTTAAAGTGTACAGTTTATCTGGGAGTGATAGCACCTTGCCTTGTAATCCAGAACTCAGGAGGCTGAGGCAGGAGGATCGGTGTGAGTTCAGGGGCAGCCTAGGCTACATAGCGAGACACTGTCTCAATCAACCTAAATAAATAATAAAGTGTACAGTTAAGTAGTTGTGAAATTGCAGAGTTGTGCAACCATCACCACAATCATTTTAAAACATTTCACCTCCTCAGGGGAGTGGTCTGGACTCTAGCAGCCACTACCCACTTCCTTGCGAGCCCTCCCTCAGTCCTAGTCTATTACTAATCTATTCTGTGACTCTATAGATTTGCCTCTTCTGGATATTTCATATAAATTAAATCATACAGCATATGTTCTTTTGTGTTTGGCTTCTTTCATTCAGCATCATTTTGGGTTTTTTTTGTTTGTTTTTGTTTATTTGAGAAATGGTCTTGCTGTGTAGCCCGGGCTGGCCTTGAACTCACTATATAGCCCAGGCTGGCCTTGATTTCACAGCGATCTTCTTGCCTCAGCCTCCCATGTGCTAGAATCACAGAACCCCATGCCTGGTCTCATCCTTGGCCTTTTTTTTTCTACCAGGAATTGAACTCAGGACCTCTCACTTGCCAGCCAAGTGCTCCTGACTTTAGTAGCTTTAGCTTTCTTTTTTTTGTCCATGGTCAGTTTAGCTAAAATAGACTTATAAATTTTGTTAATCTTTTCAAAGGATTAACTTTTGATTTTGTTGCTGTTCTCTTTTGTTTTTCTGTTCTCTATTTTAGTATTTTCTTTGTACAAATCTTTATTGTTTCCTTATTTTTGCTTTTTTGGGGGGAGAGTCAGTTTGATCTTTTACCCAGTAGAGAATTCTTTGCGATCTTCTTATTTTTTAATATATGAGATATGATTAAAAAATATGGAGAATGTTTAAAATTTTTCAAATGTACTACAGTAGAAGATACATTGTGTAACTCCTCTCACTTTGAAAACACTTATCCTATTGTTCTTGCCACTTTCTGCAGCAGTTCTGGAAGTCCTCTTTTGTGAATATCTTGAATGAAGCTTTTTTTTTGGTGCCAGGAATTGAACTCGGGACCTTGTGTTTGTGAGGCAGGCATCGGAACCACTGAGCTAAATCCCCGACCCTTTTGTGGATATCTTTAGTTGCTTTGTGGTGGCTGCTTTGATGTGCTGAGTTGATTCTTGGAACATTTACCTTTTATGGTCACTTTGACTTTGGAGAAGAGCTAGAAGTTGTGCCGTGCTAGATCTGGTGAATAAGGTCCCTGAGGACATGCTGTAATTTTTTTTTTTTTGGTATCAGGGATCGTACTTAGGACTTTGCACTTGTGAGGCAGGCACAGCACCACTGAGCTAAATTCCTGGCCCTCAAGGTTTTTACAAACCTGCCTTTCTGTTGACATTTAACAGTGTCATTCACCATTATATTTTATCATATCTTGTGAAAACACGCTCATGAAAGAGGACTTCCAGAACTGCTTCAAAGGGACAAGAAAGGGCCAGGGATGTAGCTCAGTGGCACTGTACCTGGCTGGCAAGCAAGGTCCTGAGCTCAATCCCCGGTACTGCAAAAAAAAAAAAAAGGGGGGTGGACAAGAACCATGGGAGCAGTGTGTTCAGGTGAGGGAATATTTTGAGGAGGATTAAATGGCAATGTGTCTTTTTCTGTAACTTTTTTTGCGGGGGCGGGGGGGGGGTACCGGGGATTGAACTCGGGTCCTTGCACTTTCGGGGCAGGCGGTGGAAACACTGAGCTAAATCCCCGGCCCCTTTTTCTGTAATTAAAAAAAAAAATTTAACATTCACCATACATTTTGATCACCCCATTTAAGCATTTTTTTTCCCCCTTTAAACATTTTTCTGGCTATAATTTTCATCTTTATTTTTGTATTTTTTCTTAGTAGGCATTTTGCCCCCAGAACTTTGTAGAAAAAAGCCTAGCACAAAGTCAGGGACCCCAGAGTTGTCATCAGGTGTTTACTGACTCTCCTTCTTCCTGATTTGAGCCAGAAGAGAGACACTGGTAAATTCAGACATCCTGGGCACCTGGGTAGAATAGTGAGCTGGAGGGAGGCTGTCCATAATGCTGCAGGTAATGTGGACAGAGTCAGGGTGGTCACGGCTAATGAAGAGATTGTAGGATGTGCACTGGGCCTTTCATGACATTTAAGTATATTTGTTTGTTTGTTTGTTTGTTTGTTGTTTAGTTATTTTTTAAACAGGGTTTTGCTATATATTCCAGGGTGGCCTTCAACTCACTATGTTGAACTCATAGTGATCCTCCTGCTTTAGCTTCCTGAGTGCTGGGATTGCAGGCATGTGCCACCACAGCCAGGCACCTAATGTTTTTAATCAGCTCTCTTCTCTGCTGGCTGGATGATTTTTATTCTATTTTTACTTTTGTATAAGGTAATCTGTGTTGCGTGTGTGTCCTGCTGATATAAGTAATGTGTTGCTTTACAGTTAACAATTACTGTGGCACAGAAAAAACAGGTAATAGTTTTGCTTTTTTTTATGTCACAAACTGGATGAATGGATACTGGATGGTGGATGAGAATGGTTCCAGTAGCTTCTTTTTTGTTGTTGTTTTAAGACAGGGTCTCGCTATGTAGTTTAGGCTGGCCTTGAACTCACTGTGTAGCCCAGGCTGGCCTTGAACTTGTGGCAGTCCTCCTGCCTCTGCCTCCCGAGTGCTGGGATTACAGGTGTGTGACACCAGACTCCTCTGGTAGCTTTTTTTTTTTTTTTTTGTACTTGGGATCGAACTCGGGTCCTTGCACTGTGCAGCAGGTGGTGAAACCACTGAGTTAAATCCCCCGTCCCCCTCTAGTAGCTTCTTATAAAGAAGTGGCTGCCACCATACTCAGTGTTCTGAGGATCCTGCTTTTCCAAAGTTTTCCAAGTTTTCTAAACTTCAGAAAGCCCAGGAAGTGCCCTGTAAACAGGTTTCCTCTGCCTGCCACCCCCCAAGGCTGTCTCGGCCTGAGGTGGAAGGTATGATGCCTGTGTGTCTCCCCAGGGTGTCTGCGAGGAAATGACCTACGAGGAAATTCAGGATCATTACCCACTGGAGTTTGCCCTGCGGGACCAGGACAAGTACCGGTATCGGTACCCCAAGGGGGAGGTAGGTGGGTCATGAGGACTCAGTGCCAACACCTGCTGCCTTTCTGGGGGCACCACCTGTGGGGTGTGACCCTGAATGTGAGCTGAGCTGAGTGGTCCTGGCTTTCCTAGGACCCTGTGACATCTCAGTGTCCCCTGGCGTTCCCAGGCCAGCCCTCCCCAGGGCACTTGAGTGGCCAAGAAGTCTGGGCGCAGTGCCAGGCCTGCGATTCAGGTTTTGCCTGCTTGTGTCTCTGCCCCAAGCCTTCACCTCTCCTCTGGATGCTCTCCCTCATCCAGGGTGACCTCACCCTCCCTGCAGCTTCAGGGTCACCCAGCCCAGGTTCCAGACCCAGGGAGATCTTCCCCAGGTATATTGTGGCCACCACAAGCAACCTGTGCTTGTTTCCTTTCCTCAGATGCCTTGGTCAGCACAGCCAAGGTCAGGACCCAGGGTTCTCATTACCTCAGGCATCTCCTCTCCCTTCTGGGAGCTGTCCTTGGACAGTGATCAAATAAAACTTTCCCCAGAGGAGGTTGGGAACGTGGCTCAGTGGTAAAGCCCTTGTGTAGTGTGCATAAGGCCCCAGTTAGATCCCCAGCACTTTAAAAAGAAAATGACACACAAGTGTATCTACACACATGCAAACACAGAGACTCCCCACCCAGCTGGCAGGCTCCAAGGCTCTGGGTTGTGTTATCCTCAGGAATAGTGTGGCTCTGAGTAACATAACTCATCCTGTAAGAGAGTTCAGATTTAGAACCAGCCAGATCACAGTAGAGAGAAGCAAAATAGGGAAAATTTGGTTAGGAAATTTTCAAAAGAATTGATTTAGGATTTCCCCAGACCTATGCAGTAAGCGCAAAGCAATGTATTGGTGTTGCTTTCTAGTTAGAGTGTGGGGATACTGAGCTCAGCTACTGGATCCTTGTTTTGAAGGGCTACACATTGCATACAGGAGAGTGAAACTCTCCCCACAAGAAGGCCCAGTTTTCTGGTAAAAATATGTAAATCTGCCATCTGAAGTGTTGCCCCAGGGACTGGCAGAGGTCCAAGTGCACATTACCATAGTGAGGGGGAGGATATCCCACAGGCAGGTGTTCATGGGGACCTCAGGTATTTCTGACAGTCCCATTCCAGGAAGCTCTGGGAGCTCTGCTTCCCTGCCCACTGCCCTTGTATACCCTGTCTGCCTTTTCCACCAGCCACTGTCACCAGTACAGGAAGTCCATACTGGAGGGTTTAGGACAGGGCCTATGGGTGGGCAGGAAATTGCCACTGGAGTGGGATCCTGAGGCTGAGTCCTCTCAGTCTTACCAGGGAGTGGCCCTAGGAGTGGGGAGAGGCCCCTTTCCTGGGTCCATTGTCATACCTACCAGCTGCCTCATCAAGCCACATATCTCACTATGGCAGTCCTCTGAGGGCAGCTGTCCACCTTGCCCTCAGGAGCCAGACTGGAAGAGGCCTGGCCACACTCTCCAGAGGTGCTTCCATTCTTGCCCCTGGAGCTGGCTTCAGGGACACCTTTGTTTTGTTTTTTGGTACTGGGAATGGAACTCAGGTCCTTGTGCTTGCGCAGCAGGCAGCAAAACCATTGAGCTAAATCCCTGGCCCGGGACACCTTTGTTTTTGCCCTTGCAGTCCTATGAGGACCTAGTACAGCGGTTGGAGCCTGTCATCATGGAGCTAGAGAGGCAGGAGAATGTCCTGGTCATCTGCCACCAGGCTGTGATGCGCTGCCTCCTGGCCTACTTCCTTGACAAGGCAGCAGGTGAGGGCCTTGCCTCAGGGAGGTGGGGTGTGTGTGTGCACATGTGAGTGCATGTGAGAGTCTCAGTGGGCATCCCCTACACATCAATCAGCCCTCCTTTCCTTGTCCACAGAACAGCTGCCCTACCTCAAGTGTCCACTGCACACAGTCCTGAAGCTCACTCCTGTGGCCTACGGTAAGGGAACTCCTCATGCATTGACCCTGGATCACTTCAACCCTGGCTCTCTGCAGGGTTCCATGCCTTTTGACAAATCCTTGTCAATCCCATTGGGCTCCCCCCATTCCTACCCTTCCCAGTATGCTTTTTAAGTTGGTTATAAAGAAGTTTACATGTTGGTTTTGGGGTGTAGCTCAGTAGGAGTGTTCACGCCTTAATGTCCATAATGTCCTGCATTCAATGTTAAATACCACAAAATGAAAAGTTTATATGACCACAGGAAGCCTCCAGGGGACCCTTTCTTAACTGTTACCCAACTCACCTGCATAAGGGGTTTTTCTACTGTTGTTTCCAATACCTCCCCCACGCCAGGCTCCCAGGGCTGGGCCTTAAACTATTCTGGGTGCAGGGTGGTTTGTGTCCACCCCAGCTCTCACTGTACCAGCAGGGACCTCAGGCAGCTTCCTGATCTCCCGGGACACAGGGCAGCTGTTATCATTCCACTGTGTGATAATCCCCTTGTGGCCCTTTGTTCCCCTTACAGTGAGCGCTCAGCCCAAGTTGATAGGATCTTGTGTGTCAGAGCACGGGTGTTGGTGGTTTGGGTCTCAAGATTAGTGTTCCCATGTTGAGCAAGGCCTGTTGCTGCTCTGACCCCCTGCAGTCCCTGGGGTGGGCAGCTTGGGGTCTGTGACTGCACAGTCATCCTTCCTGCCTTCCTGGAGCTGCCTGAGGCGGGAGGGCTAGGGTGAAGGTGAACAGCCACCCCATCTCAAACCCCAGCCTCTGTCCTCTGTGCTTCAGGCTGCATCACAGGGCAGGACTGGATTTGCCTCTTCCTTTGGCAGGTTGTAAAGTGGAGTCCATATTTCTGAACGTGGCAGCTGTGAACACACACCGGGACAGACCACAGGTAGTGATGGGGACACTGCTGGGTGTGGGCCTGGTCATAGGGTATTCAGACTCCACATCTGCAGGGGCCCTCGTTGGGGCTTTTTTCTTTCTCAGGCCAAAGGAGCTTGAGTCATCTGCCAAGGCTGCTCTCTGCTGCAGCTTTGGCTGGGGCTTGGTTAGGTGTTCCAAGGCCAGCAGCCCTGGGATGGAGGAGGTCCTTGGAGCTGGGCCACCAAGGGAGGAAGGGCCACCAAGGCCAGCTTGAACTGTATAGCAAGACTCTGTCTCAAAAAAACCAAAACCAACCAAACAAATGGCATTGTGCCTTGTTGGAGACCCTCTTGCAGAAGGGTTCTCACTGCCTGTGTTCTCTGAAGCCTTGTTTTTTGTGTTTTGATTGTTTATGTTATGACCTTGAGCTTGCAGCAGTCTCCTGCCTTAGCCCCAGAGTGCTGGGATTGCAGGTGTGCAACACCATGCTCAGCTCTGAGGTCTTGTTCAAAGTAGAAGCTCTTGAGGCTCTGCTCAGAACCACTCTTAGTGCCCATTTGGGTCCCTCCACAGTGCCATTTACTTCCCCTAAGGCAAGGGCAAGACCTTCCCTTCTTGGACCCCAGGCCCACTTCTCAGAGTCTGCTGTACCAAGAAGACTCCTGCCCCCTCAGCTATACCTGTTGCCCCCTTAGTAGTGCACGCTTGGGCCTGGGGTCACTACTGAGGGTGCATACCTTCGGCCTAGCCTGCTGGATGGCCCTGCTCACCTGCAGCCCCTTGGGCTTTAACTCGGCAGGCAGAGGTGTAGATGTGCCCTGTTCCTTCTCAAGTTTGCTGCCCACAACCAAGGCCAGTCACCAAGAAGGCCTCTCCCTCTTTCTCTTGGAACCTGTGAGTGTCTTGCTAAATTTGGTCCAGGCCCAGTCTGACACCCACAGGTTACAGAAAAAGGTGCATCCTACCAGGGCATCCTTTGTGCTGAGAAAGGCCCAGGTGATGTTCAGCGCACAGCAAGGTGGTGGTGACAGTGGCCCTGGGGCCTTCGGGGGCTGACCTTGCCACCTGTGCAGATCTGGGAAGGTCACGCCGCACAGGGCTGTGGCTCAGCTCACTGCTGACTTGCTCCTGCAGGTGATGGCTCTCAGGGCACATGGCTGAGAAGAGGGCCACAGAATCATAGCTCACATAGGACAGCCTCATAGGGCCTAGGGGAGTCTTGGGGCCCCTCTTCCTCAGGCCTGACATACCCTGAGTTCACAGGCCAAGGAGGGAACTGGGCTGTATCATTTTGTGAGGGCCATTTATATTTGAGAGGTGCAGGGGATCTTGTGGCCCAGTCTTGAGGGGACAGACCAGGCTACAGACTGGGAAATGTCTCCAAGCTGCTGGAGCCACATCTGACACCTGTCCACTGACAGAACTGGAAAGGAGGCAGCCCCAGGAGCTGCGCCCCTTCCTGCCCCCACTGTGAGGATGTCGGCTCCAAGCCAGGGGTTTCTCCCCAACTGCCTCGCCCTGCATCAGAGTGGGCACAGCCTGGCTTTGGCTCATGCCTCAGCTGCCTGCAGTGGAGCACCCACTGTGTGCCAGGAAACTTGTGACCCTGCTCTCTTAGGTCAGGGTCGAGATCCTGTGTCTGGGCCTCCAGCAGTAAGGAGTGTGACTGTCCCATCTGGCCACAGAGATGAGGAAAGCAGGCAGCAGATGTCTCATCTATTTCTGCTGCAGGGTGAATATTCTGTTTCTATCATTGTGCAGAATGTGGACATCTCTCGGCCTCCAGAGGAAGCCCTTGTCACAGTCCCTGCTCACCAGTGACCACATCTCATCTACTGCGATGCCTGGGTGGACATAGATCTCTGTGGATGAGGTCATCCCAGGCTGCCTGGTGTGTGTGACAGTGACCATACAGGAACACTCTCAAAGCTGTGCATGGCTGGCCACACCCAGACCCCCTGACACAGCTCATCTGCCTCCTTGTTGATAGTGACAGGGTTGACATGGCTGCTGACTTGCTACTAAGAACCACCAGGCCAGATGGTGCTGCATGGGCAGGGCAAGAGTGCCCACCACTGGCTGCTGTGTTGCAGCTCTCAGATGGTCCTGCTCAGCAGGCCAGTGCCCTGAATGTGAAATGGGGAGTCTCACTGAGATGTCCCCACTGTGGCCCAGCTGCCTGGAGTAGACCCTGCAGAGCCTCTTCTCTCCTCTCTGGGGCTCCTTGCTGAGCCAGTGGCCAGGTCTTCATGGGATCTTGAATCTCTGCTGCTATAGGTGACAGGGAGAGCTCTCCCTGTGCTTCCTTGCCAGGAACCAAGGAGTGGCAGCCACTAACCTTGGGCCTGTGTCACTCATCCTGTGGAGACTCAGGAAAGCAGCGAGCTCACCCCAGCATGTTGTGAGGTGGAGGAAGCACATGTTGGGGGGTGTAGGGTTGGGTGTTGCACTGTGGCCATCTCTTCCTGACTGTGCATGCACTGGACTCAGAGGATCTGGTTGCCAATTCAGCTGTTCACAGGGGAGCCACACAGACAGGACAGCTGCACACAGGTGGGCGGCCAGGGAGGAGGCTGCCTCTCTGCTGGGGCTGCCTCTGTCCACACAGGAATGTACACTGGTGGCAGAGATGTGTATTCACCGTAATGCTGCTGAAACCATGCTGTGGTCCCATAAAACCTGTACCAGAGTTTGTTGGCCTCTCCCAGTGGGACTGAGGAAAGGACAGAACCCAGAGGTAGCCTCTGCCCAAGGGAGAATTTCTCTAACCCTGACACAGCTTTGGCTCATGAACCTGTGAGCCAGGTAAAAATGGCCCTACAAAGCCTGGTGTCTGTCACACCCCTGAGTTCTTATGGGTTTAGGCAGTGGGTTCTGGCTCCAGTTCATAGCTGGCCAACAGACTGGCCAGCAGGTTTTGGGGTGGGGCCGCAACATACCTAGACTAGTAGTTGAGGCCCTGCTGTCCACAGGTGGCCTTGGTGGAGTCAGGCCTCTGGACCTCAACCTCACTTTGTACCCAGAACCTTTCTAGGACTGTGCCTGGCAGAGCAGCCTGCCTTTTACAGCCCCCTGGGCTTTGCAGCCTCTAAGTGCCACCTGCCCCAAAGGAAAGTCAGGGTACCTGTCCCTGACCAGTGCCCTCTCATTCCCAGGTGCTGCCACAGCTGAGGACAAACAGGGAGAGTTACCTGGGGTAGGCCTGGGGTAGGATCCTCTTCCTAGACTCATCTCTTGTCAGAGCCCTGAGCCCTACTGCAGGCCCAAGGACCACACATTTGCCTTTGGGATGTGAGGCTGTAGCCTTTGATTGTGTCCCTCGGGGTTTTGATGACTTCTGTCACCTGGATATACTTACTTGTTAGCTATAGTGGGTCCCTCTGGTCAGTAGCTGCTCAAATGCATCTGGATGTCACCTGGGCCAAGACACAAAGGACTTTTTTCTCTGTGTACCGAGGGGAGGCAGGAGTTGATGGACATGGTTGCTCTATGAGGGCTGGAGACACGGCAGAGGGAAATCAGGGGGCCACGTGTGCACAGGCGCAGCCCCTCCCTGTCTTTGCCCTGGAGCAGCCTCTGCATGGCAGCCACATGCCCAGGTGGCTGCCAGGTTTTAGCTGGGATGGCTGACATGCCCGAAGTGTAGAGGTCCTGCTTTCCCAGGAGTGAGTGGCTCTGGTCCTCAGCCACAAATTGCACTGTGTCTAGCATTCGTTGCAATAAATACTTTTTAAAAACCTAACAATTTAAGGTTGATTTTGTAGCCGTTTCTCCATCCCAAGGTGTTCTTTCTGCAGCAGTATAGAGGACCCTTGTTGTGGTCTCTCTCATAGGTCTGTTTTGGGACCATGGATTCAGGGTCCTGGTAGCACCCTGACTGGGAGAGGAATTGTGTCACCTTGGAGTGGCTGGGCTGGGCACACATGGGCACGTAAGGTGTCCACCCTTCAGGGGCCTCTGGGTTTGTGGGGTGATTTTATCTGGGAAATTGATGTTAGTGGTTATCTGTCACCTTTTTTCTTTTATCTTATTTTTGCACAAGAAAATCCTGTCAATCTAAGGAGGACTTTGTTGAGTCCCCAGACCCTTGGTCTTGGCCACTGTGTCCTTCACTGAGTCATCCGGACTCCCTCTTTAGCTTGGCTTTCCCCTTTCTGCCTGTCCTGTTTGTGAAACTCTCTTTGCCAGAACACTCCCCTCCCCTCCTGGGCCAGTATCAATCTGAGAAATCTCACCTTTCCACAGGGCCCTGCTTGTCCTCAACATTTTCTAATACACATCCTGTTTTACTAGAACTGATTGTTCAAATTACCATGTGTGTCTTGTTAGGAAAACGATACCTAAACCTTAGAAGATGGAATGTAAGTCCAATTGTGCCTGCATGGAAGGCTTGTGGTTCATTCTCCCCAGGTTTTTGCTACTTCCCTGCTTCAGTTTGAATGTGGCTGGGTGTGTCCCATAGGGTTCAGGTTCGGAATCTTGGTGCTCAGTGTGTCTGTTGGGAGGTCATGGGATGCACTGCCATCGGAAGGGATTGATACAGTTCTTGTGGGACCCCAGCTGGTTCGGTCAGTGAGTTGCTGTAGAAGAGTAGGACTGGCCCTGCCCTTTTCCCTGGCTGTATCTTGCCATGAGATCCTTCTTACCCATGTGTCCACCATGATATAATAGAGCCAAGGGGCCTCACCAAAGGGCAAACTGGCTGGGACTGCCCATCTTGGGTTTTCAGTCTTTAAAGCTGTGAGCACAAGAAACCTGTTTTCTGACTAGGCATCTAGGTGAGTGTTAGAGTGTGTGGTTAGTAACTACCAGGGCCTGGGTTCAATGGTCAACACCAAAAATATGAAAAATAAATCATTTTTATTTTTTGTTTTCTAGTACTGGGCCTTCACATTAAGCTGCACATTCCCAGCAAACCCCGCCCTTTAATTATGAGACAGGGTCTCATAAGTTGCTAAATTTCCCAGCCTGGGACTTTCATGATCCTCCTAGAGTGCTGGGCTTATAGGTGTGCACCACCACATTCAGGTCAAAAGGAATTCTTTTGCTACAGTAGTCATCCTTCTGGGTTTCACCCTTGTAATTGTGACTTTAGACACACTGGGATCCAGCTCTAGTCGAAGGCCCTGGAGGCATTCAGGAGTTGGGAGGAGGGGCCAAAATCACTCTCTTGTGATGTCTTTCAGGGAAGGACCCTTGCTTCAGAGGGCAAAGAGTGCCAAAGAGGCTTGGGGTTGGTGGTGATTCGATTCCTCCAAATCCTTTCCCGTATCTTCATCCCACTGAGTTCATTAATTCAACATTATTAAGTGCCTACCATGTGTTAGAGATACAGAGGTAAGCACATGATGAGTTCATCGGTAGCCAGGAAGACAGGAAGACCCTGTCTCAAAAAACAAAACAAAACAAAGCAAAAAATAAAACCCAACAACAAAAACCAAGAAAGTAAGCACAGCAAAGTCCCTACTGTCAGAGAGAGGACATTCTAGTGGTGAGACAACAAACAAATGATAAAATATGTACTGTTAGATGGTGCTGGGACCAAGGAGAGGGGTATGGAAGGGGGTGCGCTTGATTGAGAAAGTGACAAAGGCCTGGCTTAGGTGATGGGCCATTACTATAGCCAGTGAGTTTGAGGACATAAGGGAGGCCGCAAAAGAGGAGGGAGGAGGAAGAGCAGAGTACACGGGGCCTTGGAAATGGGAGGCCTGAGAGTGGGCTTTGAGAAGGATGACTTGATCTGATTGTACAGGGGTCCCTCATTTGGCTGCTACTGAGTGGAGACTAGATTACTGGACAGAGTGGGCTTGTGTGGAGCCTACTGCAGTAATACAGATGAGATACAATGATGCCTATAATGGAGCTTCCCAGAAATGGTTGGATTCTGTGTATATTTCATTTTGCTTGTTTGATTGATTGATTGATTTTTGAGACAAGGCCTTGCTATGCAGTTCAAGCTAGCCTCGAACTGGTGGCAATCCTCCTGCCTTGTTTTGGTGAAGCTTTTTAAAATTTTATTTTTAGGTTTTTTTGTTTTTGTGAAGCTTTTTCTTTTTAGTTTTTTGTTCTGTTTTGTTTTTGTTTTTTAGACAGGATCTCACTTTGTAGTTCAGGCTGGCCTCAAACTCACTATGTGGCCCTAACTGGCCTTGAACTCATGATCCTCCAGCCTCAGCCTCCCAAGTGCTTGGATTACAGGTCTATGACACCATGCCTGGCTCTTACCTTTAATAAATGCAAAACTTTGCTACCATTTGCACTTGTCTTCACCAATTCTTTGTTTAGGACAAAAAGAACCTAGGAACCATGTGTAGAAGGAAACTCAACACCCTCAAACCTGCATATATTTTGATGGTAGAGCCAAGATCAGCTGGCAGTTTGGAGGAAGGCATGTGAGAGAGATGATGCTAAGGGATGGAGTTACCATCTGTGTCTGTGTGGAAGCCTGTGGTGGTCATGGGTTGGGGATGGGGGCCAGCAGTTCAGCCAAAGATGAGTTTAGATGAAATGCCAGATAGATGTCAATTCTGAAGCGCAGAGATCTGGACTGCAGGTAAGAATGAAATCGCTGGTGTGTAGATGGTGTTTACTACTGTGACATGGTTAAATCTAGAAAATAAGGGTAGAGAAGAAATGGGGCTAGTACAGTTAGAAACAAAGGCACTGAGTGAGTCACTCTCTTTCCCCATCTAACCCTAAACACCACCCAATAGTTATTCCTGCTTCCATCATCCTGAGAGATTAAATAAATAAATAAATAAAAGCCTGAATTGATGAGATCACAGGCACCAGAGCACTGGCACCATGGGAGATTCAGTGGGAGGCATCAGAAAGCAGAGATATCTATCTTTTAAATTCTGAAAACTTGAGTTATCAGCCCCTTTTCTCCTTTTTCCTGTTGCTGTTGCTACCTTTCCCATGACCTTCAATAAACATAGCTCCTTACTACTTGGCAATTCTTTCTTCACTGTACACAAGCACTATTATTGGTCCATTCAACTGTAACATCTGGCAAGCCAGGCAGGAGGACATCAAACCTCGGAAGACCTCACTGGACAAAGAGTGAAGGGACATTATTGTACAGCAGTCCATGACCTCACCAGACATTGGAAGGATCAGCAGCTCAGACCTTCGGAGATAGCAGAAGTGAGCAACCAGCAACCCAGGCAGCAAGGAAGGTAACTCCCCACCGCCTTGGGAGACCCTCTCTCTTTCTCTTTCTGGGCAGAGAATGGACTCCCAGGAGGAGAGGTAGACCAGTGGCTGCATGGAAAAGACTAGATTGGGAAACAAAAGGCCCTTATGGGGGACAGGAGGACCCCTGCCCATCAGTTGGGCTTATATCTTGTTGATCCACACAATGTGGAAAGTCTGTCTTGGAGTCTGTCTCAGGCCTCAGCAGGATGGGAGTAAACTGAGCAGAGCAGGGGAGAAGGGTGGCGCCGGTAGACTAGTGCTTTGTCCTAGCTGCCCACACCAGGGGACCAGCTGAGACAAGGACCTGGCCTGCCTAAATTGTTGCTTTTTTCTGTGGAGTACTTGGTAACTTTCTCTAGATTTGAGTAGTTCTTTGTTTAGCACCAAGGGTGTTTGTGTTTCCCCATGGTCACAAGCTCAACAGGAGTGTTCCATAGGTTTTAGTATTTTTCCTTCTCCTTTTCTGATCCTTTCCACCTCAAGCTTTCAGCTATCAGTGTTCAGTTTGTTTGGTTGTTAGTTCTAAATAACTCAGGAAAATACAGTTAACAAGTACAGTGTCTTCCCACATGAGAAGAGGATCTGGTCCATTTAAATCTCCTGCCACCACTTCTGTACAAGCCAGTCAGTGGCAGGTGGCAGAGCCAGCTCTAGCTGACTCATCTCCTCAGGGTCTCAAACCCCGCCTGCCTAAGCTGTGGCCTCCTGGGGTAGTTTGCTGGTATTGGTTTGCTCTCCTTTTTACTCAGTTTTGCTTTTGTTGTGATAACTGTGGCTTTAAATTTATGCTGTATAATCTGTATTTGCTGGCTGAATTTACATAGTGCCTGACATTTTTCGAGATTCTGTCACAGATGTGTGTGCTTTGTGGCTTGATCTAGCAATTTAGGTTTTCTCTAGGGATGGGTCTTATTCCCTTTTTAATTGGCAATGGGGCATTGAAGGAGTAAGACATCCCAATTCTGAGCTCTTCAACTGGAAGGTGAGTTGTGTTTATAGGGGAAAATCCAATGGGTCCAAAGGAAATAGCACTGGTGCTCACTTAAGGCTGGAGACATCCAGCTCCAAAGGGTTCAGCTCTGCTAGGGGATGCCTGATGTGGGAGCAGGACAATCTACCAGGAGATGCCCTGTCAGGTCCCTACTAGTGGGGACTGACCCAGGGACAGACGTGCTAGATCCCAAGGGATTCAGCCTTACCAGGTCACACCCCTGGGGCTGGAAGGCTCAGGCTATCAGAAGAGCCCCTGTCAGGTCCCTGCAAGTGGAGACTGACCCAGGGACAGGCCTGTTAAAATCCTAGAATCTAATTTTTACTCCTCCTATCCATAGATAGGCACAACCTCCTTCTGAGTCCCCACTCAAATATCTGTTTGTTGTTGTTGTTGTTGTTGTTTTTAAAGACAGGTTCTTGGTATATAGTCCAGGCTGGTCTTCAACTTATTATGTACCCAAGGCTGGCCTCAAATACAGCAATCCTCTTGCCTCAGCCTTCTGAAGGCTGGGATGACAGCCATGCACCACCACACCTAGCCCCCTACTCAGATGTCTTAACGATTG